GTCATTTTTTAAGTAAATCTGACAAGCCAGTTTTTACAGTGTACCACAAGTGCAGAACCTGCAGAGAGCCTGTGCATGTGGTCACTCATGAAGCACATGAAAATTACCTGTTTGTGTGTCAGTTGCATTCCTTGACCGGCCACCCAGAGTCTTTTCTGCGTGGAGTTTGCATGTTCTCCCCGTGCTTGCGTGGGTTTCCTCCCACAGTCCAAAGACATGCTGTCAGGCCAATCGGATATGCTCATTTGCCCCTAGGTGTGAATGTGTGCGTGTGTGAGTGTGTATGTCTGTGTGTCTGCCCTGTGAAGTTGCCATGATGATACACATACATACATATATATATATATATATATATATATATATATATATATATATATATATATATATATACATATGTATATATATATATATTATATATATGTGTGTGTGTACATGTATCATCATGGCACATATATATATATATATATATATATATATATATATATATGTGTGTGTGTGTGTGTGTGTGTGTGTGTGTGTGTGTGTGTGTATGTGTGTGTGTGAAATGGCTCAGGTGTGAAAAGGTTCAGAAGCAACGGTTGCTCTTTGGTTGGTAGGTGTGAAGATCAGTGTTACGTTACTGTGTTACTCCCTTTTCTCTGGCTGTGTGAGAATGTGAGCACGACTGAGAAGGAGCAACACACCCACACACTTATTTTTTACTTTTTTTGGTTTAGTTGAGAAAATGCATGTCTCTGTCTGCCGTATGAGTTTCAGGGCCTCATTCTGTGGCCAAATCTGTTCTATAGCACACCCGACAGACCTGAAGCTAAAGAACAGTCAAACACTGGCATTTCAATTAAGACAAGCAAAAAAAATCATCCATGAACATGAAAACAACACAAATGGTGATGTGAGGTTTTGTTCAGACAACGACGATATATGCACTGACCGGCCACTTCATTAAGTACTTACCTTGTATTTACACTTATTGTCCATTTTATCAGCTCCATTAACCATATAAGTGAACTTTGTAGCTCTACAGTTACAGCTACTTTCTGTAGTCCGCCTGTTTCTCTGTCTACTTTGTTAGCCCACTTTCACCCTGTTCATCAATGGTCAGGACCACCACAGAGCAGGTATTATTTGCGTGGTGAATCATTCTCAGCACTGCAGTGACACTAACGTGGTGAGGAGTGGTGGCGTGTTAGTGTGCTGCTGCAGTTGTTAAACCACACTGTTTAAAATCATTCATCTTGGCAATGAGAGTGTATTTGCTTGTAAGAACACCATGTATGTATGATTAGCTAATCGAGGTATTAGATGATAACTACAAGTAAAACTGGGCTGCCACAAGGAGTGGTTTAGAAATGGTTTAACAAACACACTGACAAACATAAAATCACTGCTACTTGTATTGATGTCATTTGTATTTACACTGATCAGGCATAACATTATGGCCACCTCCTTTTATCAGCTCCACTTACTATATAGGTGCACTTTGTAGTTCTACAGTTACAGACTGTAGTCCATCTGTTTCTCTGCATACTTTGTTAGCCCCCTTTTACCCTGTTCTTCAGTGGTCAGGACCCCCATGGACCCTCACAGAGCAGGTACTATTTGGGTGGTGGATCATTCTCAGCACTGCAGTAACACTGATGTGGTGGTGGTGTGTTAGTGTGTGTTGTGCTGGTCTGAGTGACACCTGCTGGACTTAGAATAGTCCACCAACCAAAAATATCCAGCCAACAGCGCCCTGTGGGCAGTGTCCTGTGACCACTGATGATGGACTAGAGGATGACCAACACAAACTGTGCAGCAGCAGATGAGCTATCGTCTCTGACTGTACACCTACAAGGTGGACTGACAAGATAGGAGTGTTTAATAGAGTGGACAGTGAGTGGACACAGCGTTTAAAAACTCCAGCACCAATAGTGGGCTATGGCTGTTTTTCATGGTTTGGGCTCATACCAAATCATACAATGTGGCCATCATTTACTGAGCTGATGAAAATATGTCAATAATCATTTATAAAGTAACCAGGAGAGATGGATTAATGGATTAATATTAAATGAATATCAATCAAAATTAATATGAATATTAACATGAATATTAGCCTTAGTTTCACATGCTAACACAAAGGCTCAAGTATATTTCATGTATCAAAATACATAAATGTGGACGAATGATGCATCTATAGGGTTACATGGAGGGTTACTGAGGCCTGATTATGGCCTTGTGATGGTTCACTTATCCAATATCTGTAAAGCATCCTCCATTAAAAATAACATTCTCCAAAAATATATTAATCTAGCCATCTTCATTAACATTATCATCACCCATGAAGTGCTTATAAAGATATACACACCTTCAGTTTTCTCTCATATTTTGTCATGTTGGTGTGTTAATGCATTATTTTAGCTTTCAATGTTGAACATGACACAAATAACAGATCCCAAATACAAGCAAAACATCTCTCTTTTTTAATTAAAATGCATCAAAAACTACATTGTTTGCACACAATGAAGGTAGACTATAGCAGAGCATGTTAAAGAATCAAAATTCAAATATACAGTGAATGAAAAACACTATTTTGTTCTTGAAAAGGAACCACTGAGCTTTTGGTTGTTACACTGAATGCACATTACAATGTGACAAAGTGTGGAAAACACATTTTAGATGTGTGTGTGCTGTCCTAACATCATTGGGCAGTGTAGATCAGACAGAAAACAACCATGAAAATGAAACATTTCTCATAGCAAACAAAAATGTTTGGTCATGTAATGTGGGTCATCAGTGTCTGTTCGGTACCATTGATTGATGCCCCAGTTTAAAGCAGTTTAGCTCTGTTCATAGAAGAGTTTTAATTAAGTTTGATTGTGCTTTCCTTATATTCACAACATTAATTATCACCACTGTCATGAAGCATCATAAGGCAGAAAGTCTTAGTTGTTTCCTGAGTCAAATCGTCTGGATAATCGTCTGAGAACTGTGCAGATTGTAGTCGATTGTCATTGGCAAAGATAATCACCCCCAGGACTGTTTTAATACTATGCACGTGGAGAGAAAGGAATATGGAAATTTCACACCCAAAAGCAATTTGTTTATGAGTTACTGGCTGGATATTAAAGGAATATGCCATCATTTTTCAACCTAATATCTACCTGCTATACCTATAGCACATGCTCCATTACCATGGGCTAGACTTGTCTCCCATTATTCAGAAAAGAGTGGAGAACTCAAACACATTTATAACAGAAGCTTCTACTGTACGTGAGACTGCTAACGATTAGCGTCTGTAACAGTGGGCGGGACAAGCGTTTGATCGACTCTGATCTGATCTTTAGTACCACCTCAGACTACACGACATCTCCATTACTAAGTGGCATTGAAGTTAGCAATAAAACTCCTGCTTCTAAGAGCTTCTCATGTAGGCAAAGTCATACATCTCGGTCTCTGCGATGGCCTCCAGCTTTGAACGTTAATTACGTACAAATGACAATAGCGAAAGAAACGAAAGGCCTCCACAGAGGCTTCAAAGTCGAACGAACAAAGAGGACTTTTGCGGCGTTAGCATAACTAGCACCCTAAAGGATGACCACTGGTCACTGAAAGAGGATCTCTATCCCACAATCCACAGCTCTCTTCATCCATCTTACTCTCTCTTTCCCTTCCTTCTGCCTGCAGGTACAGAGATCAGGTGTGAAGGGGCGTGGCAGGCCTGGGAAAGGCCTCTAGGAGATGAGATATTGCGTACAGCTGTGTTGGACGTGAGCCTGAAGTGAACTTAGAGGGAGTTCTGGCCACTTTACCTCCAATGTTCGAGCATGTGTGCGGGTTTGTTATTCAAATAATAGGAGACAATGTGCTTTCAGGCATGCCCAGTTATCGTCTACTGTTTCAGTCCTTTCATTGTGGAAGGAGGCGGATAATGTACATGCTTAAAGCTACCTATGTTCTTCATTCTTAAAGGGATTGGAATGACATTGGAAGACTTCACTCATTGGCCAATAAAGGTAGAGTGGAACTTCGTGCCCTGTGTGTCTGATTATGAGTGAACTATAGTGCACAGATGGAAATTTGATGCCTTATTTAGGGCCGTTACTTGCAGTATATGTAGCCACTTAAGGGCCTCGCGAGTATGTACAGTACTGTAGAAAGATCAGAGACCACCCTTTGTTTATTTATTCACAGTCAACATGGCTATTAAGTTCAATTCATCTTTCAGGTTAGTTATATCTAATCCACTCACAAAAGGGGAAAGTCAAAGGAAAGTAAGCTGTTAGACCACATTTCTTACTGTACTTCAAACAGTACTTCATCTTTGACCTGGATTGTAAGAAGTAGAAAATGCAACCAACTTTGGAGGTGTGGAAACATCTCCATGCCTGTTTTTTCAAAACTGAAAGCAAGTCTCCAAAAAGAATGGAAGCTGTAATAAATGCAAATGGTGGACACATTAATACTGAAAAATGTATATTGAATGTAGTTGTTAAGGCATCTGGCTAACTCACTGTTAAATACATATTTTCTGAAATTAATAAATGAAGAGTGGTCTCTGACTTTCGTTTAGTCTGTCAAGAAATTGGCAGAACAATATCTTGCAATTATATTTAATATGTACTGACATTTGTAATATATTGATTGTGTTTTCTTGAGCAATTATCAAACTGTTTCCTAATTTCTATTAATGAAGTATTAATTATGAATTCTTTTTCATTCTTTCAGGCAAAATGCTATGATTGGGTTGAGTGGGGGGCCCCAGAAAGGATGTCACTTACACTTGGCTTTGGTACTGCATCGTATGGCATCTTATCAGAGTTTGGAATGATGTGGAGGATGTACGGTGGATACCTATTCTGTGGTTTATCATGACATTTCCTTTAAATAAACCTTTTAGTGCATTGGAGCTACATTGGAAAACAGACATTAAAATTTTTTTAAAAATTTCTACCATTTCATAATTTAGGCATCATATATTACAGTAGCACGACTTGCAGTTTTATATTAAATCAAAAGATTAGAAAAATGACACAAAGAAGCGCTAAATGTTTTGACCTGGAAACAACAAGAATATTTATATAGAATTGGCTCAAATAAATTAAAGAAATCCCAGACTATATTACTTAGTTAACACAAATAATGGCTTGAAGAAATCACAATATTACAAAAAAAAAAAAATTCCCAAGCAAAAAAAGCAATCGTGACGAAATAATTACTGTCAAAAACCATTCCAATGAACACATATCTCAGCATGTTTGAAAAGCCAGGCAATTGCTTGTGATTGTGGCAGTGAAAAAAAGGAAATCAAAATAAAACAATGTCAAGTTCTTTGGTATTTAATTGTCACTAGCTGTCTCATTTTTTCATTCTGTACCAAAACTTATTGTGCTTCCATTCTGAATGATATCGTATCGATACTGAATGCCGCACCAAATTGCCCAGTTTGGAGACTTAAAGCTTGAAGGCAATAGCAAAATGTAGCTTGAATCAACAAAGACATAAATAAAAGTCTTAATAGATCATATTGGCCTGATACAGCATGGTTTACGTTACGTGCTGGGCGTGGATCAAGGCAAGCGAAGGTCAATGATCTTATTATTCTGAATCTGCCTGCCCTGATGGTAAAGCAGTGTCTTTTCTGGTTGGCCACTCCATGTTCAGATGCTCTAGTTACAGTTGAAACAAGAGAATATTTGCAGTCTGTGATTTCGGAAAGCTTCAGGAAATATCGGTGGGTTGCCATTCTTCATCCAGGCCAACCTTGCTCTTGACAGTTCAGTCTTACAGGTTGAGGACTGGCACTCCTCATGAAATACAACATTAAAACACATCGTACTGTCTCTCTTTGGTCTGCATGAGAAAAAGGAAAGGAACGAGGAGGGAGGCGTCAAAATGGACCAACCATGCAATGTTTTTTCTTTTTTTTTTTCATTTTTAAAGCACACAAGCTTTGCTCTGTCCTCTTCTCGTCTCTCTTTCGGCTCTGTCCCTCCCCAAAGCATCCTGGAATATGCCAGGAATGCCATTTTTGTATGATCATGTGTCACTTTGGTTTTAGATGCAAGCTTTTCTTAAGGGATCAAGCATTTTTTGCCTTCCTTACCCCCCTCTCACAAAAACCCACCCTGTCCAGGCTCAGTAAGGCCTCCACACGGACTCGTCCATGCGGCCCGACGTGCTCATGGCAGTGGGCGAGTTGCTGTGGCTGCCGTCTGCCTCCACCCCGTCACTCTGGTTGCCCAGGCTGGCGTTCATCAAGCTGCCAGCGGCTCCGCCCCCTGAACCAGCAGCTCCACCCCCTGCCGCTGCCGTGCAGGAGGTTAGCATGCGGGTGGGCGAGCGTTCACCCCCCGTGCCACCGCTGGCCGGCACCATGGAGAACTGGTAGGAGCTTGAGCCGGTGCCATAATACAGATGGTAAGGGGAGGAGTTGGTCTGGAAGTGGGAGCTTTGATTCTGGTTGCCAGGATACGGCGGAGGCAGGTAGGTGTGGTAACGGGTGGAAGTCGACATGCCTGTCACGCTTAGACCCCCGATGCCTGTGCCGGACGGGTTGGCTGAGTAGGTAAAAGGACTCGGGTAGTGCATGTGGGGGTCAGGGAAACGTGGGGCGGTCAGCGGCGAAAGGGACGGAAATGTGGTCCTCTGCGGGAACAGGTCAGTGCCTGTGGGAGAACAAGAGAAACAGGGATAGAGTGAGTTGTTATGTGTCTGGACTGAAGAGTCTACAATGAATGCTTGCATAATGTACAAGCTAGAATCAGAATGAATTAAGATGGTATGTCATTTAGTTGCTGGATCATTTAATCTCTGAAGGTTTTGAGAAGACTGGTCTTGATCGACCCCCCTGCACCATGTGCCCCAGTGTGACTGCCCTCCCCCCCCAACGTCCCCCAATTCCCACTAGTAGTTATGCCACTGGATAGGAAGTAAAGCGGAAAGAGCAATGTAAGCACCCTGGACCAATTAGTCATCAAATATTCACACAAATATTCACACAATATAAAATGTACTAAGGACTGTTCTTTGCCGCCCCATAGCTTCAGAAAGAGAGAACTGCATGGATACCACAGCTGGCTCCAAATAAAATCAGCAATAAATCCATATATTTCCAACAGAAAGATGAAAACCTGTGTGCTACATAGCCCACATTCAAGCCACTAAACCATGTCTTTAACTGCAGTTTCAGGCTGGTAACTTGCGTCCGTAATTATGGACCGCTAAGTGGCCTGTACTGCCATATGTTTTTGTCTGCTGACTCGCTTCTTATACTGACCATTACAGAAGTATATGAGCCATGAAATTTCAGGCTAAATGATACTGCAAGATCAGCAGCAGGGAGTCACCATGGCAACTGAGGAAGAGCATGATGAAGACCTGGCCTTTGAATTCCATTTGAAGGGCCTGGTTTGAATTTCACATCTACTCCATCCATGTCTGTTCTGTTTGACACAGGTCAACATAAGCAATGCTGCTAAACAGGCATGACATTAAATTCAGTTCACCTGTCTATATTGAACATGCGGACTCTCACACCTGGCATATTCGCCAGCTTGCTGTGTTTTTGGGACCTGATTTATTTATTTATTTGCACCGAGTGCCCATACGACAGTGGAGCATGCTGGGATAGCACAGCGGCTTTTTGCTAGTGAGCAGGCTTTGGCATGCCAGCGCCCCGAGGGGGGAAAGATGCCGGGCTTTGCGTGCCACCGCCTCATTGAAATATCTCCCCCCCCCACTGCCCCCACCATCTGGGGCACCGAGTCCGTTTGTAGGCGAAGAGAAACAGAGAGAAAAACGAGACAGTTCCTTTGCAATTTCCACAGTCCCCCCCACCGCAACAGAGCATGTTTTGCTGTCGCTCTTTCTCTAGCCGAAGAGAAGAGGAGGAGGAGGGGAGAGGCTGAAGGCCACTCTTTCTTTTCGCAGACGGCAGCTCTAGGAAAGAGGCCCGTATCTGGTTCCTGGCGGCCGGGAGCCGAGCTTTCAGCTGTGGCTGATTTGGGCTCTGCTAATTCCTAGTGGACCCTCGAGAAACCTCCTGCTCCTGCTTTCTACCTGTGACTCTTAATTTGCTAGCCATTTTGAGTGCAAGTAGGGAGATAACAGAATAAAGCATGCTGTTAAAGGGGCCCTATCATGGAAAAATAAAGTTTTAAAATAAACCAGTCGGTCACCAGTTTATACAGTCAATGTATAGAAACTAAGCTGCAAAAACAGCATATTGAATTATTCAGGTTATTGCTGTCAACATATGACTGCCCATTTAGCTCACAGCATCACAGAGACCCATTCACATTGCAGTGATACAGAGGGTTGCTACTGCTGACAGTTTGACAGTTAGTTATAAGAGTAGAACTCAGTAAATAAATAGAAACTGGGCACAAAATTTGCAAAAAAGCCATGTTTACATTTGTTCCCTGTAGATGTGCTAACTTTTTTTTACTAAGAAAATCAACAAAAGGTATAATTTGACTGTGGGTGTTTGAACTTTTGCATACAACTGTACAGAATTACATGGATAAAGTGTCATTTTTCCCATGTTTGACAATTTCTGTCAAAAATTGATAGTTTGTTTCATATTTCAGCCCAAGCTGCTCTTTAAATGAGGCACAATTCAGAACAATCGTTTACATAAACAGCAGTAAAAAGTCATTTACTTAGACAGGAATAAAAAGCCTAATTCTGAAGAGATTGGTAAAAGAAAATGTCATGTAAAAGATGAATTTTCAAAGTTTTAAGTGAATAAAACCTATCATAGATAAATGTACAATATAACTACTTTTGGCATTAAGTAGTAGCAGAGTACAAAGCACAGCTATAACACATAGACTGCATTGCAGTGAGAGACCTGATAAGTTAATTTTGCATATAAGTTAACTAACTTTTCACAAACTCACTTTTTTCAAGCTAAAATGTACGAGGTGAAGAAAGACTAGGCTTGTGGCTTTAGCTGAGGTAATAGACGATTACCATTTGTCTGTGTACGTTAAACATTTTAGATCAACTGCCCTTCTCTGTGTACATTTCAGGCCATCTTCCATCGATTTTGTGGGCAAGTTCCGGATTTAACAATAGCAAGTAGCAAATAGCAAAATTTGTAATAGCAAAATGCTAAGTGGTGCACTGTGGTGCTTGGAGAAACTGTGCTGAAAGTTGCTTAATGTTTGCAAAATTGTGTGCACCATCATTAAAAACAATAGACCTCTGGTGTGCAGTAGATTTTATACACTGTTTGCAATCAGGCTGCCATACTTTTGCATACAAAGTGGTAGTTTTGGCAAATTGGTTACACCATAAAAATGTAAGTTAGACATCTTTGTTCTTCTATAATTGTATTTATTAGTGACGTTATTTGCATTATGCAAGTGGAAATACTCAGCTAAGGATTTTACAATGTTATAATGGTTCTAATTGTAATGTTATAGCCAACACGACTTGTCCATTAATTCAAAACATTTCCTATTTTAAAATTGCCAGTTCAGATACAATTCAATCATGTAATGTTATGCTACATCCATGAAACATTAGCAAAACATTAGCATTGGATTTGAAATGATACTATGCTATGCTGTAGCATTTACTATATATGTAGAGCATATATAAAAAAGATGGCTCTTCAAGGGTTCTTTAGTAAAGAAAATGGTTCTACATAGAACTATGAACACTCAAAGAACCATTTGCATGACCCAAGGATTCTTTGCATTGTGAAAGGGTTCTTAAGATGGATGGAGTATATGTTGTCTAGGGTTGTCTATATAAAACATTTTGAAAAGGGTTCAATATAGCACCAAAAAAGGTTTTTGAAAAAGAACCTTTTCAAAAAGGTTCTATAAAGAACCATCTACAACACATTCTCCATCAATCTGAAGAACCCTTTCATGATACAAAGAACCCGTTGATCATGCAAAGCGTTCTTTGAGTGTTCATGGTTCTATATAGACACATCTACATAGACTCTCTCTCTCTCTTTTTTTTCTCTGTTTTGCTCTCTCTCTCCCTCTCTTTCTCTCTTTTGCTCTCTCTCACTTTTTCTCTCTTTTGCTCTCTCTCTCTTTTTTCTCTCTTTTGCTTTCTCTCTCTCTCTCTCTCTCTCTCTCTCTCTCTCTCTCTCTCTCTCTCTCTTTCACTTTCTTTTGTGCTAAACATAGAACAGGCAGAAGGAGGGGCATCCTTCCTCACTTTGGGCGCAAATGCCGACACGCCATGCAAGATTAATGAGAGAAAGTCAAAATGTCTCAAACGGGTTACTCTACTAACCAACAACGACTAACAACTGGACACCACAACACCTCAGCCAAGGAGGTGTCATAACACAGCTTGGCAAAGGGCCAAAAAACAGTCAGTTCACACACACACACACACACACTAGCCTCCTCTAGAGGCCTGATGGGGATCCTACATTCCAGACAGAGGAGCTCTAAAGCACTTTCAATGGAGTTAAACAAGCAAAATCCACAGTGCTTCATTCATATTCAGCCTCTTCTCTCATTTGTCTCTCGAGTCAGTAACAGCTAGCAAGACCACAAGACACCACCAATGAGGCGTGCAGTGAGGGTTCGTGCATTTGTGAGTGTGCAAAGTGTTCTCCCAGTGAGAGGCGGTGAAGTGTGTGCTTGTGTGTGTGAAAGGTTATTTTATACACACAGACGTCAAAAAAGGTTATGTCAAAAACTGAAAAATGACAAAAATGTTAAAATGGAGATACAAGGTTTTGTTCTGACAACAGCGTGATTTTATATATATATATATATATATATATATATATATATATATATATATAAATATTCCTCTATATATATATATATATATATATATATATATATATATATATATATATACATATATACATATATATATATACATATATATATATATGTATATATATATATATAGAGAGAGAGAGAGAGAGGAATATATATATATATATAAGCTCTAAATTTTTGGTTACTGAAGTTTAAGTTTAAGAGTTTTACAGTTAACCATCTAATTATATTATTACGTTAAGTGTATATTAATATGATACATACATATGGGAAAAAAATTGTTACATTGCTTTAATATAATGTTTTTTTCCCCTTATATTCCTTAAATATAATCCAAACCCTGGTCTGGTTAATCAATACTTCATTATGTTAAATCAAGTGTGCTCGTGATGGAATTTAACAAGTCCATGCAATGCCTGGAGACGTCCAAGAGACATTTGGAACCAAACCTGTTTTCTTCTAAACAGCTCACAAAATATCAACTCTTTTTTCAAAACAAGACATTCTTGTTACATTTCACTGTATTTATGCTTATTTGTATTTTTTCAATGACTTATGTTGATTTCACAAGCAAAAATCAAAAGAATCATGAGCCCAGTATTGTGAATCAAGTCCAAACGTGGGCTGAGAGTTTCACTACACCCCTAATCTATACACATATTTCAGTATTATGGCATATGGTTGCATTTATATAGTCCATATAGGACGTACGAACGACTCCACATCCTAGCATTGTGCAAATCCAAGTGTGTGTGTGTGTTTGTGTGAGAGAGAGATTCAGAGTGCAGTAGCGCAGTCCCACCCCACATATGATCCCCATTACTCTCTGCTAAAATGTGTCGACTCGGCAGGGAAAAAGTGTACCAGAAAAAAGGCAGATAGACAGGAAAATATTGAATAAAAAAAAAAGTCGGATAAACCCCAGACTCTGTCTGGCATAGACATCTGACTTTCCTCCCGTTCTTTCTCTCTTCCTCATGCTTGTTGAAATACCTCTCTTTACACTTTTACGGAGTACATGTTGTTACTCCATGTGTGTCTGTGTGTGTGTGTGTGTGTGTGTGTTTGTGTGTGTGTGTATTTCGTGCACGCCCCACCACAGGGAGCTGTTTTATTCCCAGAGTTCCACTAGCCCACAGTGAAGCGTGTAACCCAGCTCGGCACAGAGGTTTGGCTCATTTGCCTGCAGCGTGCGCGCCGTGCGCGTATGTGTTGGTGCCTATTTGCTGGTGAGGATGCAAATCCTGGAGCTCACCTGTGAAAATGTTTGTTTGCAAGATGGGAATGCAAACCATGATGGATTGCACCTGTGGGCCATGATAAAAACAATGCAGGTGGGTAGGAGAGACTGAGCGAGTGAGTGAGAGAGAGAGAGAGGAAACCCAAGATCGCTGGTTTTATCCACCCTAAGACCACTCTTACCACATGCAACAGTAGGCCTTTTTCCCCCAACATGAGGCCTTTTACCACCGCACCTAACAAATAGCAGTATGGCCATTCAAAAACACCAGCTAAACAAATGCTACGCTACATTTCGTTTTCACACTGGCCCAATTAATTGCCTGTTGAAAACAGGCCGACTTTGGGCCAAAACTCTAGCAACCCAGTTTCCTCCTCTCTGACATGCCAGCTTACTTACATGGCAAGTAAAGCCACCAGTGTGGCTTTGATAGAAATAGAACATATGGTGTGTAGGAGCAAATGTTCAACGTCACACAGGCCTGTTTCTGAACATTTAGGGGCCGTATTCTT